AAGAAGGCCTGGCTCTGGTAGAGCACGGATTATGAATTGTGGGTGTGGTCTCAGAGAACACCTGTGACTCAGGCAGGGTAGTTCTGTGAAGTTACTCTCCTCGTTCTCCCAATAGTCCTGCAGCTGGAACAACAAAGGAGCCCCAAGAGAAGAGGCTGGCAGAAGGCTGGGTGACTGTCACAGAAGGCCCTGAGGAACCCATGCAATATTTGTCTATGACTACATGGACTTTATCGGAGCCTAATGACTATGGGAAAATGCTAACACTGTCAGTGTCCCTGGGACACTGTAAGGGTCCTTGCCCAACATGAAGCAATATGATTTTTTTTATTTTAAAAAGAAAAACAGTGCCAATGATTTGGCTCGACAACATAAGCACTTGCCTGGCAAGCAAGAGGTCCTGAGTTCAATCACTCTCTGGTGTCAAAAAAAAACAAAACAAAACAAAACAAAACAAAACAAAACAAAAAAAAAAAACGGAGATATACAAACAACTACAAGAACAACAAATGACCCCAAATAGTAATATGATAGGTTTTCAAAACAAGATGATAGGAATTTAACAATGGTTGTAATGTTGCATTTTGTTATCTTCAAAATAGTTGTTTAGATTACCAGATATAAACAACAAAATGACAACAAAATCCCCTCCCCCTTAACCTTTCGTCAGCACAAAAGACAATCAATGGAACAGTGATTAGAATCATCACCATGTTGCACTCTCTAGAGATTGGGAGACTGTGGGTGTATTAAGGTTGCTTGCCGAAAACTCACCATGCAAGTCATCAGGTAACGCTAGAAATGTTTCCAGTGACCCAACCCTTTTATTTAAAAGAATTTATTTTACAGGCAGTGCAGTGTGCACGAATGTGTATGTTTCAGAGGTCTTCAGGCTCACAATTTAAAACTAGGTAAATGACCTCATCTTTTGAGCTTGAATTGATTTTCATTTTATTTTATACAATGTATAGACAGCTTCCTATTCTTTTCATTTAGAAATATACACAATATAAATCTGTTAATTATGTAAGCAGTACTTAAAATGATGATGTTTGTTTATCCTATGCTTAAAAATTTAAAATAAACCATTTATGTGCAAAAAAAAAGAAAATCAAGAAAGAATAAATAAGATGTTAATGGAGTGTTAACTCCATGAATTATCATGACTGAATGATTCATATTATGACCATTGTGGCACCAAAAACCAGCTGGTTTCTAGATCCATTTTGAGGTAAAATCATAGTGGGTCCTATCAGTTCTCCTAGAAGCATATGAAACCTCATGTATGTGATGACCCCCTAGATCATTATATTCTGTTTTTGATTCCAAAAAGATGCTGTGGGGGGAACTACTTGTACCGGTGGTGCCAAGCAGTGAGATGAATATTCAGTGCCAGCCTCCACTGGGAAGCTAATGAACAGCCTTCTTCTGTCTAATGATAAGACACTGCATACTAGATGATTACTTCAGTTTCTTAGCACAGCAACAGCTGGGAATCAAAACACAATATATAGTCCAAGCGGATGTGCAGCATTCACGAGGGGAGTGTTCCTTCACACACAACAGCTTCAGATATATTTGATGTGGTTTTTCAAATGTGGGTTTCTAAAGATGGGGGAAACTGAGGTGGATTATCAAGACTGTTCTGGTGCTATTAGATAACAGGATGCATGAGCACCAGCATGGCACCATGTGAACGAGAGTGCAGGGAGCATCTAAATATTAATTTTGCAGCGGTTGTCATCCATAGTTTGAGAAAAAAGTATAAAATTCTTGCAAATTTAATATAGGTTAGCTTCCAATCTGCACTTCCCCAAATGTTTGATTTGGTTTTGGCTCCTTCTAACGTAAAGGTTTGAAATTCTATCTACCAAACAGGCTGCAGTTTTTCATTGTAAGAGATATTCGATGTATATAGGAATTTGAAAACCACATTTGGAAATTAGTTGAGGTTTACAGGATTCTAGTCTGTAGAATTAGTTTAGCTAAATGAATCCAGTGCTTTTTCTAAACACAACAGGTGGTAGGAAATGCCTTCCCTTTCATTGTGGAAAGGTAAGACTTACCCAGGGTGCTTATGTCTGTGGTCCTTTTGGAGGGTCCACTGTTGCCCTGGCACATGTCAATTACTACGTAGAATGTTAAATGTAACATTAAATCCAGAACCACAGAGAGCCTGGAACAGTCTTCAGTTCTCATAGTTTAACTGTGGGAAATTCCATCCAGAGGAAATTCACACTGAAATAGCACTGCAGAGCAACACAGTGTGGAGTTACAGTAACACCCAGCAGTCCCTTCTAATGTACATGCAAATGGCACCATTGAAGCTTTTTATGTTATCTAACTATTTCATGGCCTTAAGGACTTGGTGAGCCAAATGCAAACTCAATCCCCCCTCTATATCCCATCCTTTATTTCTAGTTAAAGTCGGCTCTTGCTTTTAAGGTAGAGTTTAAAGGTCTGTCATTCTTAAGCCATATTTGAGGAAATCATGGTCAATGTTGGATGTCATCTCAGTTCATCTCTACACAAAACTCCCTCAGATTTAATACTGTCATTTGTGGTCAGCTAATTCCTTCCCGAATCCTTTAGATGAATCAGATTCTGGGCCAGGGATACAGCTCACTGGCACAAACACCTGCCTGGCAATTATAAGGTCCTGAGTTGGATCTCCAGTACCAAAAAAGGAAGGAATCAAAGATAGAACTCTCCACATTTTCCCCATCAATGAAAGCAAGATGTGTAATTAGAAAATTAGATGAAGATCTGATTCTTGCTTGCCACACTGGACTTCTGGGGCCATTTCTGTTCAGTTTAGAGGATGGTGAAGGAGAGGTGGCTCTGGGCCCGAGTCTCTACTCATCCAGATGAGGGACAGCACAAGCACAAGGAGGCTGACTGTGGCCCGCAGGGTGCTGCCACCTACCTTGGTAGACACATTAGCTAGACTGGGGAAGCAGTGATATTCTGGGGAGGAGCTACTTGGAAGCAGCACAACACCCACTGGTCTGAAGAAATCTGTGTGAAGAGACACAGAGCAACCCCAAGAGGCTGAGCCCCAGACTGGCTACCATGGCTCTGCCATTGTCTGCCCTGTCCATGTGCAGCACGGCTCCTTGGTGCAACTGACTTTTAGAGAGTTTCTCCTTCAAAGATGTATGACTAGGAGTTCCACACACCAACAAGGAAGGAAATGATGGCCCAGGCTGCCGCAGGGCATGAGGGCACAGAACACGTGCTCCACCTCAGCAGCTGTTAGGAAAACGCAAAGAAAAGTACAATCCTTCCTGTTGAATCCAAACCCCTCCAAATGTCTACACAAGAAAAGGTGCAGCGAGAGTGGCTGAGAACGTGAAACAAGCTTGAGCCTTGTACTCTGTCACATTAATTTAAAGCAGTACAGTCGTTGTGGGAAGCATTTGCAGTGCTCACCAAGTTAAAAAAATGCACAACTATGGACTGCAGGTGACAGACACCCGTGAGTGTATCCAGGAGCAGGGGAACACACGCCCGGGCCAGAAGGCCCCAGCAGTGTGGGTCACAGAGGGCACACCAAAAAGGCACCCTGATTGAATGTGTCAGACCACTCCCTGCTGGGGACAAGCAGACATGGCGAGGCCACACTGCAGAATACCTCACTGCTGGGAGGAATACAGCTCTGGACCTGTTGGAAGGTGGACGGCCGGATGCCCCAGGTCACATATGGTACGGTTGAGTTTGTATGCAGTGGGCTCAGGAGGAGCTCAGGAGGAGCTCAGGAAGCAGAGCTGAACACTCGAGTCTCCTCTTCTAGTCTGAGCAGGTGCCAGGCCTGGGTCGAGGAAAACGGAGGAGCCCATGGGTCCTGGATTCAGCAGTGACTAACAGAAAAGGGGCATGTGGAAACCAAGAGTCCATAAAACTGGCATTCTTGAGGCCATGGTGACTTACGCTTTGTGAAAATTTCCCTTCAATCTACCATCTGTGTCTTGAAAATCATAATTTATCCCATTAGTGTAAAGAAATCTTTTGTGATATTGGGGGTGTTAAAGCAGTCCTTGAATTTCTAAAAGTTTCCTATTATTTTCAACCCACTTCTTGTCACTTGGCCATAGGAGGCGGGGGGAATCTGTTCTTGAACACAGGGCAAATGCGGAGTCTTGGAACAGAACTTTGCACTTCTGAAGGTCTTGTTCAGGTCCACTGAACAGACCAGACCTGGGTTCTCCAAACTGCCCTGCAGCCCACTGCCCTCAGGCCAAGCAGTGGGACAACCCTTGTGCATGCTGCCCAACAGGGCAGCAAATTCCCTGCCCTCCAGGAGGGGCTCCGGAAAAGGTTCCTTTGGGAAGAGGGGAAGGAAGTGACTGCTGGGTTCTGGCCACAGGAGGCCTTCCTGGGATCCGGTTCTGCATGGGCCCAGGGCCTCAGTTTTGCCTGCCCAGTAGAGCCCACACATGCGAGGTTCTTGTACCCTCCCCACAGAGCTAGGTACAGGGCACATGCACCTGCTCGAACCCTTCCCCTTCTCAGCCACACCTGGGTGCTCCGCACCCCGTTGTCACGCCTGGGTCCCCATGTACACCCAGTCCTCTGATGCTGCCCTCACACTAGCTGGAACTGTGCCTTCCTCTGGGGCACAGCTACCATGTCCAGCCCCTGGGCTCCCTTTACATGTGGAGGGCTCCTGGATCACACACACACACACAAATGCAGCCGGCTGGCTGTGTCCTGCCTGGGAAGGGAAAGTGGATTTTGTTGGACCCATGAGCTGCATCTGCATAACAGGGGGGAGCAGAGTGTTCTGTCCTCCTACATTCCATCCCCGACACCCATCCCCAAAATCCCATTCAAGGGAGATGGGGCAGCAGAGCGTCCTGTTCTTCCCTCCCTGTCCCTCACTGGACTGGGCACTGTGCAGCTGATAGAGGCAGAGAGCAGCACACGCCTGTCAGTTTGCATCAGAACTTCCTGGTTCCCAGAGAATGTGGCCAGCATGGACATTCTGGTCTCTGTGACGATCACGATCACAACAAACCACTCCTGCCTTCGAGAGACAGGCACACTTCCCAGAGATAGTGACAGACGTGAGGCAAAGAGTAATTGTAACAGTATCATATCGCAATAAGTAGGTGGCTACCATCCCTGTGTGTGTGTGTGTGTGTGTGTGTGTGTGTTCACATGTGTGGTCTGTGTCAGGTGTGGAGGGATCCCATTCTTCTGGGTGTGAGATACACTGGTGTCTCTTCATGAAGGGCTGGTGCAAGATACTGTTAGCCATTGTATCCCCAGGACCAATTTGTCCTGAAACCACACCTGTTGTGTGTAGAGCTGTTACCTGCATGTTTATGGCTGAGATCACAAAGTGTTTCTGCTTTGACCCCTCAGTGTCACAACTTTGTTCCCTGCTCTCTTAATTAAGGATGTCCCTTTACTCATGGCACAACTCCTAGTCACCAAAGGCTGTCTCCTGCTCTCCTAGGTCAGTGACAGCAAGCTGGAGGACTTAGAGGACAAGACACAGAGGAAGGTCTTCCTGTCTCCAGATGGGGGAGAGTCCTACAACTGGCTGCAGCCTGAGTGCACCCCAGCTGCTAAGGCTGCTCGTGATTACGCCAACCAGAAGATAGTGGAATTCATCGTGAAGACCAAGGGCACTGACCGCCACCTGCTAGACATCATGCAGGGTAGGAAGCCTTCCCGCTGGCTGAAGGCCTTCTTCAAAGAGCACAGGTACTTTGTCTGCATGGAGACCTACCTGGAGGATGAAGACCAGCTGTTCATCGTGGCCCGATATGTGCAGCGCCTCTACGAGCACATGAAGGAACCCATGCTGGCTCTGCGTACAGTGGACAAGGTGAGGCTTGTGATGGAGGTGCTGCTACCAGAGGCTGTGATCTGCTCCATCTCTTCCCTGGAGGGCCTCGACTACCAGAGCGCTGAGAAGAAGTTTCTGAGTGGGCCCTATGTGTGCCCTCATGAGAGAAAGGTGTTAGACAGCGTCATCAGGAGGAGGAGGAAGAGATCCAGGGCCAACAAGGAGCTGCTCTGCACCCCTCCTAAGTCTGAGCCCACACCCTAGTGGGAAGCCCACTTCCCTCCTCAGTCTCTGCACAGAGAAGCTGTGTTCACAATAAAAGCTCTGTGCTCCTCCCTTGCATGTCTGTGTGTTGTACTTGGGGTTGCACCCAGCAAAGGGGAGCACGCAAAATAAAAGGGTGCCCTCAAGAAGGAGCCCTGGCCAAGGATGGCGGCTACTCTCCTCACTTGGAAGGCTCAGTGCAAATTCCCTTCCCATTCTACACCCACTCACATTCCCACAAATGAGGTCCACTTTCAGGAAAGACTGTAAGAAAGAGCTTCCCGCCTTGCATGCAGTGAACACTCCACCATCCCTCCCTGGCTCTGCCCCACAGGGCAAGGCTCCAGGACCCCTGCCTGGACCCTGTGTGCTGCACACTCATGGTCCTGCTCCTCCACCATAGGAACAGACGACCTTGCTGTTCTATGTGGATTCAATCCCCATCCCCACCATCAACTCCACTCCCACCCCCAGAGCTCATCCTCTGGCTTCTCTGAGCCCTGGCCCCTGAATCCTACAAGCTGTGCCACCCCAGCCTCCTCACCAGGCCAAGCTTTCTCTCCAGGTACCCTGTGTCCTCACCCCCACGTCCAGCCCCCTATCTAATCAGGTCTGCTGAGCAAGCCAGGTGCGATTGGAGGCTGTGTCTGCACAGAAGCAAAGGATGAAGATGCATGGACCAGGGGATTCTAGTTCCTCAGGTGACCAGATGCACAGGCTGCATGCTCTTTGTGAGAAATGCCCCAGTGTCATGGCCTGCAGGGCTGCTCTGAGGCCAGAGCCCCAATCTCCCCATATCCCTGAGAGGACGGGGGTATGTTGGTTGGGGTAGGAGGGGAGCTGGCTTCTCCTGGATGTCATCTACAGCCCGGACCAGGGGCCAGCCTACTGGTCATGGCTACAAAAGGCACAGCCTGAATCCTCGCAGAACAGCTTCTTGCGGTACACACTGGAGGCTATGTCACCAAGTGCAGCCCAGACAGACAGGCATATGAGATGCTGGTGGCAGCAATGTCTAGAGCAGCCCAGTGCTGGCAGCAAGGAGTGGAATGCCCACCTCTAGGGCCTGGGACAGGGATCAGGGCCATGACCACAGGGGCATCAAGGGGCTGAAAGAGATGAGCTCAGGCACTTGTGGGAGGACCTTGGGCAGTAAGGGTTGATGGGAAGAGGAAGCCACCAATGCCCATGCCAGCCTGGTGCCTGTCACCAGCTGCATTCCTGCTCCTTCCTGTCTTCTCCTTCCTCCACCTTCTCTTCCCTCTGCCTTATCACTGTCTTCACATTCAGCCCGGGTGCTGGTTCTGTCCTTGACCTGGGCTTTTCTGCTCCTAGCTAGAATGGCCTCCCACATCTCAGATCCTGAGTGGGCCCCAAAATCTCTAGAAATATCTGAGGCCTGCCAACTTCTCCCAGGCATCTCAGAGTTGCATTCACAGGCTCAGCAAGCTTGGTCCTGGTGAAAACCTGCCTCCAGGGCATGTGGTCTGCAGAGGCCAGGGCCAGAGCCATTCGGGGATGGCTTTATCTGCAGCATAACTTCCAGGCACAACACAGAGGCTGAGAGATGCTCACCTGACTGCTGCTGAGCAGTGAAACACTTGAGTCAGATGACCTTGTCTGGGTCCTTTGTCTCCAAACACCCGGATCAGAGCTGCCAGTCAGTCTTGGAGGATTCTTGGCGAGGATCCCATGCAAAAGCCGAAGGGGAGCCCCATGCAAGTCTTCCATCAGCCTCCTCTTGCTCTCCCTTTCCGAGACTTCCTGCCACACAGGCAGCACGTCAGTGTTGTGGTCTAACTATGCCTCCAAGGACCCTTCTCCATGGCCAGCAGCTCCCTCCCGGGACACACACCCATGCGCTGTCCCTCACCTTCTCAAGCAAAGTGGATCTCCTGACTCACAGATCAGAGCCAGCACAGCTCAGGCTGATTCACATGCAGGGAAATCAGCCACACTTGCCACCCACCCCCGTTGCTCTAGCAAGTGGAACTCTGGACACAGAAACTCCCCACCCAACCTCTGGGGCACAAAGCTGACTTTCAGGGAGCCTTTGGTGCGTGGGATTTCCCTGGGGACCAAGCATAGCTGACTTCCAGTCGATCCTGATCAGGGTCACAGCGGCATGACCCTATTCTCCTTGGAACACTTTGCCCAGCACAGTAAAGTGGCCCATAGGCTGCAGGGCCAGCTCCCGAGACTCCTGGAGTTCACTTTCATCTGGTTCTCAGGGCACCAGGGCCGAAGCATGGTCACTGCCATTGCCAGTGATTTCAGTTGCAGGAAAAGGGCCTCAACCAGCTATTGGCAGGGCAAGGTTTCCTGAACAGAAGAGGCCAGAGGGTTGGGGCTGAGGGGCAGGTGGAAGGCACAGGGGTGGACTCCAAGAGCAGCACATCCTGGGAATGCAAAGAGGGCCACAGCAAGGTTACTGTACACCCCACCCCAAATTACACACACACACACACACACACACACACACACACACACACACACATTTACTTGAATGCTGCCTCTACGACTTCTCTACCTGTACACCCCAGTCTACCTCAATTCATCCCAGGGCCCAGTGCACCTGTGGAGCTAGGTCACAGGTGCACATACTAGCACAGGCTCCCTGGAGCCCACAGCCCTCCCCACACGCCCCCATGCCACACAGCCACCTCTAAAAAGTTCCCGCTCCACACAGCCCAGCCCCAAACAGCCCCGCCCCGCACAGCCCAACCCCACATAGCAGCACCCTACAAATCCCAATCCACACAGCCCCAAACAGCCCTGCCCCAAAAGTCCCGCCCCAAACAGCCCTGCCAGAAAAGTCCCACACACACACATCGCCCCACACAGCCCCGCCCAATACTGCCCCCATAGGTTGCCATAATCCAGGCCCAGGGCACCAGAGGGCTAGAGGTCTCCGTGGACACAGTGGCCCTGGCCCTGCTGCTCCCTCTGCCCTTCCCAGGTCTGGGGTGCGACAGCTTGTCATGGGAAAGGCAGGCTCCTTCCTGGAGCACTACTGTGGCTGGCCATGGCTTGCTCTCAGCCCTCAGCTGTCCTGGCAGGGCACGTGGGTGCCTGCTCTCTGCTCCTTGTGCTCGGGACTCCGCGTGAGAGGTGCGTGGGAAGCAGAGCACGGACCCTCACGTGGTGGCTAGAGCCCACTAGGCCATCGATGCTGGCTCCCAGGTCACCTGGCAGGGCTGCTATGGCTGCTGCCCCTGCCTTGACACCAGTGCCAGAGTGACCAGATCTGCAGCAAATCAGGATGTGCTCTGGCCAGGCAAGGATACCTGTGGGGCTTCTTTCTCTGCAATATCTCTGCCCATCCTCATCCAGGACAGGGCTGGTCCAGGGGACAGCCTAGCTGAGGTGCACCTACTACAGGTGAGACGCTGTACCTAGGAACCCTGGTGGCTCCCCTAAGTGAGACCCCTACTGAGGGGCCCCCATCTGGCTGGTTGCTGCCTGTCCATGCTGGAGGGAGCCAGCTGTCCTGGAGCCTCAGCAGTCAGCAAGTGTGATGCAGGCTGGCCCGCTTGCCTGGCTGCCCTGTAGCCTCCATTGGCCAGCACGCGGCAGGTGACCAGTGCCTTGGATGGCCCCAGCCTTCTCCTCTCTGACTGCTATAATCCTAGTACTCTGGAGTTAGCTGCTTCCTGGGTTTGGCACCCAATCCCCTGGGCCTGCCTCTCCTGGACCTCTGAGCCCTGGCTTATGCAATGTGCTATGGAGGCAGCAGGATGAGGAAGGAGTAACTGCCCCTCAGGCAGGGGACCTGATCCCCTCCCCATTCTTGCTCTTGCATCCTGAGCCACTTTGTCCTCACCTCCATGGCCACAGGTGCTGGGGCTCAGCATGTCACCGGCTCTGGGAAGCCATGTAAGGTAGGAGTGTGGGACAGACCCTGTGGTCATCAGCCACTTTTCAGGGACCATGAAACTGTGACTCCAGTGACTTTTCCCAGGTCTGACTGGATGCTAGGATGAAGGGAGCCTGGATTAAGGGTGGGTGACCTGCAGCTAAAGGAACTGGAGCCAAGACTAGGACAGTGGGTCCTGCATCGCAGGCCTTGGCTAAGTGTTGGGCTCTTTCTTAAGGGTTTTAATGTGAATTTTATTCTATGATTTTGAAATGAAGAACGTGTGTCTTGCATAATCATCTAAGGTATGCTTTTTTTTGCCTCAAGGCTCTTATATTGTTTATTTGCCTCTCTAAGTTAACTGACATTCTAAACTTCCTAGAATTATTTTTAGAACACAGAAACTTTTATAGAGCATGTAATACAGCAGTTTTCTCACTTTTTAGTCAATGGAAACTTTTTTTCCTCTCCAAATACAGTTCTGCAAGGAAACTAAGGGAATAACTGGGAGAATTGTAAGATGGCAAGGGAAGATGCCCATTGGTGTCAAAGTGGAAAGCCAAGTCTGGAGATTCTCCAGAAAGGGACTTGTGGGTGTCCCATCTGTGGACATTAGAAAGGACAACTGGGGACACCAGGGCCGTGGTGAAGATGTAAATGTGTTCAGTTTGACAAGTTACTGAGCACTTATGTCACTGGAGGAGACCTGTTCCTTCATTGCACACATCCACTGGACGGTATGCCTGAGTGTCACCCTATGGTATTCCTCACCTGCATTATTGGAATAGTTGTGCAATATTCCACCGCAGAATATACATGTTACTGAATACTGTCCTTTTTCTTCTTTCTGTTATTTATTACCTTAGGAGCTAGAAATCTGTGGAAATGTTTCCTGTGCCTTTGTGTGTCCAGCACCTTGTAAATTAGCTACCACACACAGGCAGCATGGATGGAGAAACATAGCTTCTCAGCTGGAAAGTGTCATAGAGGCTGATGGGGGCAGCCTCTAAGGCATGGCCTTGCCCTGGCTTGGGCCAGCAATGAGTCATGTAGGGTCATTCAGAGGACACATTGTCAGCTGCACCTCTCACAGGTCTGCTCCACTGAGTTTGAATGTGGCCTAGGACTGTTTCCTTTTGCCAGA